TGTTCTTCCAGCAAATATAAGTACCCAAGCTCAATGCGGGGTCCATGATGGATGCAGAGTGCCCGAGAGGTTGACAGAAAGCCCTCCCGACAAGAGTGTCCTTACGTCCCTAGGGCCCTTCGCAAGCGGTCGAGCCCTAACTTGCATACTTGTTTTGTATGACCCCCAGCAGCAACAGCGCAGGACCCCGGAGCGAGTGGAAGGCACCAGAGATCAATGTGAAGGGCCTCTGAGCAACAGAGAGTTCTCCGACAGGTTAACACACGGGGCCCTGGCAGCATCGCTCAGAGCCTTCCAGGCGGACTGGGGAGAACCCGTGAGAGGCCTACCAGCGATCCGAGGTGCCCCGGTGAGCTGACATGCAGTGTCACCGGTAACAGCGCGAAGTATAATGCGTGCATCTTAAAGAGCCCAAAACGTCTTTCACCACGGCCTTCTAAATCAGGCCAAAAAAGTGTTTGCTCATTGGCTCTCCATTGTTACTTGCCATTTTCGGACTCGATTCCCGTTCCTGGCCGGCTGCAGGCCAGAGACGTTCAGTTGGTTTCACTTTGTGTAAAAACCCGCGCCCGCCGGTCAGTTATCAGAGCTCAAAGAAGAAGGGGGCGGGGGGGTGGGGGGGGGATAGGATCCCGTGACCACGGGGACTCCTCTGGATCCGCCGTCGGGGAAATGTCGGGTCAGGGAGGAAGGAATTGTCAAGGGCCGGGGCTAACATGTTTAAAGGACCATGTTTCCGCGAGAAGTGAGCACGCGACCTGTTCTCTATCAATTTGCTTGATATCGAAAAATAATCCTTTGGCGCCCCTCGAAAAAGGACAATATCCGCCGCATTTACGAGCCACTGAACACCATTAAAAATGCACTGATACGCAGCTCGACAATCACATGACATGATGCGAAAATTGGTCGCCGTTGCACTAATGTGGGCCAATGATTCATTGCTCACATGCTGCTCTCACCTCCCAGTTTTCCAGAAGACTGCGGATGGCGAAAAAGTTGACTATCTGGCGACGACGAAATTGAGGAGCGCACTGCATGGCGTCAACAAGCAGAGCGCCAAGATGATGAGCTGACTAATTTTCATGATAGAAAGCCAGACGCCCCTTGACATCCGGTAAGTTCAGGCAGGTCAGGTCAGGTCAGGTCAGGTCAGGACAGAAAAGGACGGGATGGGGCGGGCGGGTTGGGTCGGGTCGGGTCTGGTCTGGTCTAAAGATCGGGACAGGAGACCTCGACTTAACGTCCCCGAGGCCGGCAGGCGACTGTGAGGCGAGCACAACGCACAGTCCTACCGGCTCCACGTCCACGCCTCCATGACCGGCCTCCGGCCACACTCCGCCCGACCCTGGGCCCAGGTGATAACGGGCCGGCGCGACCTGGCTGGCCGCTCAGTGGCTTCACTGCGGTCACAGCGCCAGCTCCAGCACACGGGCGTCAGCACTAGCTCTACGGCACCAGGTCCAGTCACCGGGCATCAGCGCCAGCTCCGGTCGCCGGGCGCAGCACCAGCTCCACAGCGCCAGCTCCAGTCCCCGGGCGTCAGCGCCAGCTCCAGTCACCTAGCAGCACGGGCTGCTCCACGTCTGCCTGCCTGTCCGCCGTCCTGCTGGCGGCCTGCCCGTCGCACTGACGAAATTAAATTACAAATGGAAAACCAGTATTTCGGGCGCTAATGCAATGTTGACGCCCCACAACGTGACCGTCTTGTTCGGCTTACTTGCGGCAGCCTATCGACTTGGGTTTATATCGTTGGCATACATATTTTATGGCATTGGGAGGCGAGACTAAATCACCCTGTCTTTTTACCGTCACACTGTATCGCTCAGCATGCCAGTTTAGCGCCGTTTGGCTTTCAAAACATTTCCAGTAAGTATTTGGATTCCAAGTGAAATGAGAGACGGATCACAGGACCGCTTCAAATGGAAGGCAATGGGGAGGTGTTCTTTTTTGTAATTTCACTAGAACTTATTCCGACCCCGCTTAAAGGAGTACCTTTCGATCAGTCCAAATGGGGAAATGCGCAGCACGCAAGCGCGCCGGAAATAAAGACATGTGGCCAGCTTTCGAGAGCGGCTCGTTACTGCGGAAGAATATCTTGCTTCAGATCGTCTTGCCGCTTTGCCGTTACCTGTTGTCGCGTTAACCTGTTTGTCGCGCATGGCGTGACTGCTGTATAGTTGAGCTTCTCACCGATGACATTTTGAGGGTCCGGTCCGGTCCGGTCCAGTCCAGTATATCAGCCTAGACCCTAATCCACAAATGCCTGTCACGCTTCTGAGCGATTAAACGGGTCCCGTCTCATGTTTGACATGAAATGTGTCTTTTCCTGTTGAGGGATACTCTCAACCGTGTAGAATGACCACACGTGATGAAAGCCAGTAAACCCTGCTGGTTTACTGGATTGTCCCAAAATTGTATGCCTGCAAAAACTGACTATCCACTAGGACACATGCAATGTTATACAGTCAGATAGAAATCGCCCAGTTCAAGAAATAAGAAATTCCGCAACATGAATGGTCCAGTTTTTAAAAATGCCTTCAGCATTGCTGAATCCCCTTTGAAACACAATATGACGCATGTGTCGAGGGGGCTCAGAGGACACAAGATGCCACAGGCGGGCAATGCCACGGGAAAGCACCTTACACTCATGAAAAAGCCTCCATGAAGTTGACCAAGCCATCAGCCACCCACCATCTAACCAAACCTGAACGCTTGCCCCTATCGCGATGCCCATCTTAGTGACCCCTAGCTCGCGTTTTTGGTACTCCATCCTGAAGGACAAGCGGAGTGGACTGGGAGCGGAGCGGAGGTGGGAGTGTCAGTCACTTCCGGTATTGTTTCGATAAAGGCGTGTCGCCGAAATATCAGCCCAGCTATATCTCCATTCTCCTGGTTTTTCTCCGAGGAACAAGTCTTATCTATATCTTGGATTCGGGTCAAAGTCCAGTCCAACATGCTGCCCCACGGCTAAATTAAGCGGGAAATTGCTCTATGACCTCACAAGGTCAACTCAGGGCGACAACCTCGCGTATCCGCATGCGATACACTGTGACTAGCTGTCATCTAGCTTTGCTGGAAAGCATGGAATGTATGAAGTTTGAACATTTAGACCATTTTAAAATGCCGGGAGGTCATATGTGTGCATGTGTGTATATGTGTAGGGGCCATATATCACATCATATCGCAGGCCAAATCGTGCCACGGGAGACGCGCAGTAACGATACAAGGGATGGGAGTGGTTACCATACGGAAACGGAAGATCATTATCAGCACGTAGACGGGGTCAAATGAGGTCTAGGGGCACCTGATGAATCAAGTTAGGTCCCGTGACCCCAAAGTCAGAGACCTGCGATGACCATTATTGACCGACAGGTGCTCCTCGACCAGCTTATGTGCTGAATTGGGGACAGACCATCACTTTTGCTTCGTCGTTATCAAAGTTGTCATTTCCGGCGAACAACTTACCAGTGCATAAAGTAATGTTTTACAGTAATCTAATAACTTGTGATTCACATCATTGACCTGACAACGGTCCGACCCTGCGTCATTTCGTGTCCAAGACGCTAGGAAGCTATAGTGTAATTTACGTGGCGCTCCGTGCATTGGCCCAACACAGCGACTAGAGAAGCCCCCATTCATCATGATTTCACCCGCCTTCAGGTCATCTCCGTGACCTGGCAAGACATCCACTGACCGAAAATCCACCGGTTCCACACCAGTGGAAAGTTCACAAATCTATTAGCGCGGTAAAATCTGCATCACCCTGTCTTAGTTACACGATATTTCTGTCATTTTTAAGCTCGTTTTCATGACGTGGGTGTTGCAGTGAGCTTCTGTAGTCTGCCATACGTCAGCGCTCGTATTTGTCGGACATGATGCGTGAAGCAAAGCTGAAAAATTTCGTAATTTTTCCAAGGCTGCTGCGTGTGCTGCTACCACACTTGTACACCTACCCTTGTCGCCACATCTTGTTGGCTTCTCAACTAACCGGACTTGTGGGAAAAGACTGGTGGATAAGTGATAACGTCGGCCGAGAACATTGCACTGAAGCAAGCAGTGCTGATGTTCTGTCCCAGGCAAGTAAAGCCGAGCGAATGTGCCTAAGTCGATGTTGTTTTGTTCATCGTAACACCGGCGTACCTCACGCCTTCAGACAGACGACCTGCGCCTCCGCACACAAACCAACTGGCGCAGCGTACTCCAGTGACGGAAGCACGCGGAGGTCAGCTGAACGATCTCAGTTCCTCCTGCTCCGCGCCGACCGTTATAGCGTGCTGCCACGTACCCCGTCGCTTCATCGCATGCCGAACATGCCTAGCAGCCCTGTCGCCTTGCAAGAGGGCTGGCGACGTGGGCGACATTCCGATGGACCTGCCGCCGGCCCGCCGTTGAGTGGGCCAGGTCAACAATCCGCCTGTAGGGGTGCAGTTTCGCGAAATCAGTTTGAGGGGGGGAGTGGCTAAGTAGGGAAAATTGACGAGACCCCAAAAAAGGCCAGCAAACGGTTTTCCACGGATTTAATCCACCTTCTCAAAGTCGAGTGGGGACGGGGGAGAGCTGGAGCTCTTTCTCCCAACTGTATAGCAAACTGCAGCTCTGCAGGCATTTTTTTACGACGCTCGAAACATGAGCACCCCATGACAGACCAGAGTGAACTGACTGATAATTTCAATGCTACTTGAGGCATGCACAACCATGCATTTTAAAGTAGAAGTCAGCTGGCTTGGTAAATTTGGTTTCGACCCAATGAGCACAGAAGCAGTTTTTGTTTCCTTCAGTTGGAGAGAAATGGCGCTGAACCAATTCTGAAGCTCACGCATGGTAAGTTCCGGTCTGGTTTCGAAGTCGGCGAGACCTGGCCCGTCAGGGAGCGTGCAGCTCACGTGTATAGTGTCGCCAGCGTAGGAGATGAGGCGACCATGAGTCAAGTAGCCATATAGATCGTTGGTAAACGAAATGAACAAAATTGGACCGACGGTCGAGCCTTGGGGTACACCGCATGACATGGGGGGAGTGAGACGCCCCGCACTCACTATCCGCCCTCGACCGCTTACATAGTTTCATAAACCATCCCACATCTGTAACGCCACACCACCAGTTTGTTGAAGATGACGCTGTGGTCGACGCTATCGAACGCCTTCGACAAATCGATCGTCGTGGCCGACGGTACAAGGCCGCAGTCGGCCTTGGTGACCAGGCGTTCACCTGCGGCGAGCACGGCATCCTTGGTCGAGTGTCGCGGCTTATAAGCATACGGAGATGAATGCAGCAGCGCTGTCCCGTTCGAATATTCCGTCAGCTGTGTGCAAATTACCTATCGTTAGATCTAAACCAGAACACTGAGTAGAGACCTGAGCGTATTATTGGACTAAATGGCACAGACGAGAGCGCACTTACGGATATCGTTGAATATTGGCCTTCAATTCCGTCGATCCAAACCATTCTATTTGCATCGGGAAACGGAAGTGGAATCAGGCCTAAATACTCTACGCCTTTGGGGAATGTCGGTGTCTGCGAGGCCTTCCCATGGGGAGCTATGTCGCACGCGTCATGTTCATCGCATGGGGCGAATGACAGTGTTTCAGCGGCAAACGAACGTTGTGATTTCGTACGCCTTTAGCTTGAATGGTTCACACTTGAAGATATTGATACAAGCACCATGAAATAAGGTTACATAAACTATTAGTATACTTTTAAGTGGAAAAATGCTCTAGACAACACAACTTTAGTTTAGTAAATGTGCACCTCATGACGTCAATGATTGATTACGTCGTCGTACCGTGTACAACATTGATTGAGAGCCAATCGACGACCGTTATATTCGAAAACCGTTCTCACGAACATCTGACACAAACAACTAGACAATTATATTTTTATTGACCTTGATCGCATGGCTAATGGAATGCACGATTTGAATGCCATGATTTCGGCGCCATGGATGCCTGGGTGACCTTGGAACAGTCTCGGGTGCCGGGCCCCGTTCAAAAAGTCTCAGTTCGATAGTCACGGGTCAAAATCACATACAAAAGTGGAGCGCCCCATTTAACGATGCCTCATCCAACCTTGCAATTGTCAAATGCTTTTACAACATCGAATAACTTCCCCGAACCACGTCATTGTGGAGTCAAACGCGGGGCAATAGAGCACTGTGCATTTCAAAGCTCTGTCTAGTAGGCATCAAAATACAGCATACAAGTGCACCAGAATGGGATTAAAGCCAGACTTGGGACGCTGAACGAAAAGTTATGAGTGTTGAGCTTGAGGCATCTTTGGTGAAATTGTGGCCATGAAGTGTAATCGCGTTTACCAGTCATAAGGCGCTTGGATTTCGGTCAACAAAACAGGTTGGTCCTGACCTTGGTGTGACGTTCGTATCTGACGCTAGGTCGATGAAATTTGATCATTTAATTGTTGTGTTGCGCAAGAAAGTATCTCAGAGATGGATTGTTTCGTCTAGCACTTCTTTGTCCCATCAGATTGAACGATTCCTTGAAATTGACTTCGCTGAATTCATGGCCTGATTTGACCTGCCGTAGGCCAGCGACCTTACAAGGTACATCTAGTTTTTTATATCACACGACCCGCTATTCAATTGTCTAGAGTTACGCAAAATTGGGCGCCGTTCGGAAACCATCCCGGAAAAACCCTCGGTGGTCAATTTGACCACCACCCGAGCGCGTGTGGTAATTTCACAGGCATCTAAGCCAAACTGATGTATCTTGTTCTGTGTAAACTTGCAGTATATCCCATTTCACATATCATGACTGATTTAAAGGATTTTGCATCATAATTGATTACATAATGACTCGGTTACTGCGCAGCGAATTAATTATGAACAGTGCCGCGTACTCTACGGGCTCTTGAGTGCTGCCGGGTATGTGACTGGTCAAGGTTTTCACAGGTATGTTAACGTTAGAGCTGAAAATCTGGTTGCGCTTCAACACAGGAAAGCTCAGATTGTTGTCCGATTGCTGCTAGAATATTCGTCATTAATATTTTGTTCATTAATCAATAATTAAAAGTGATAAAAAGTAAATAACAATAAGAACTATTTTCATAACAGATATTCACTAGAAATTTCTGCTAGCGTGACAACACCCCCATTATTTGCTGAGATGTCACCACCCATAAAGTAGACGAAGGAGAAATTACGTTAATTTAGGCACTGTTGTATGACCAGATCATGTCCATTAATTGAGAAATAAATACAACAGGATGAGATAATAGGAGATGTCTGTTATGATGTTGTCACGTGCGCACCTGTTATAACTAGTAAAAAATGTCAGACTCACTGTTAAGAGAATGTCTTACATAAAACATTGCACGAGTTTACCGGCATAGTTCGGCCTTCTCAAAACCGCAAGTTCCTGTGCTTTCCAGATCAAGAGTATCAATATGTGTAAATTATTGGTGGACTGTGCTGAGGGCCTCCCTACCTAATGCTCACCCCACCCAATGAGTGTTTCACATTGGGCCTGGAACGCTTCATTTTGACCACATACTATGTTATTCTTTCGTTTTGTTTCACTTATCAACAGTCCAGTTGTCCTGGCCAAACAATATCTAACTCTGACTTCAGTTATCATCTTCCAGTAACGATAAATGGAAGGCAAGCCAACATTTCCTGGTACATATCAACATTGGTGGTGCAACGTTGGAACTGTCGGCTCGACTCTCTTGACGGACTGTTGGCTCGGCTCTCTTGAAGGACTGTTGGCTCGGCTATGTTGACGGACTGTTGGCTCCGCTATGTTGACGGACTGTTGGTTCGGCTCTGTTGACGGACTGTCGGCTCGGCTCTGTTAAAAGACTGTCGGCTCGGCTCTGTGTTGAAGGACTGTCGGCTCGGCTTTGTTGAAGGACTGTCGGCTCGGCTTTGACGGACTGTCTGCTCGGCTCTGTTGAAGGACTGTCGGCTCGGCTCTGTTGAAGGACTATTGGCTCGGCTCTGTTGACGGACTGTTGGCTCGGCTGTTTGACGGACTGTTGGCTCGGCTCTGTTGACGGACTGTGGGCTCGGCTCTGTTAACGCACTACCGGTTCGGCTCTGCCGGTTCCAGCTCCGCCCGTTTCTGTGCTGGCCCCAGACACGCCGCGGGTGAGGGTTCCCGGTTCAGCAGAGGCCAGCGCGTCTCGTTTCGACAACCCGCTCGCCGCACATGACTCGACTCCCTGCTGACCGCCGCTGAGTTAGGACAGCTCTTACACGTACAACCCACTACACCACTGTGAGATCATCCAATTGGCATGCACGCATCGCGAAGTAACTGGCGAGCCTTTTACAACACCGACACTATCTGCAAGGCGATCGTGGCCCGACCTCCGCCCTGTTCGGGCAGAGGTAAGCAGTGGGCGCGGCAGAGCATCCAGCCGCGGCTGATGCCGCGCATGGCCAGCTCGCGGACCGGTTCTCTCAGCTCCCGGACCCGTCCTCTCAGCGCGACCGGCCGGCGCGCGTCCGCCTGCAAGAGGCACTGCGCAACGGTACATGACCTTTCCCAAATGTCAGTAGGTCGTGAAAAGCCCGCGAGGGGGCGCGTCGGTGCTGCGAATGATGGCATGTATCGCACATCCTGTCAGCCTGCCTCGGCACCAGAGATCGCGGGCTTTTGCAGGTCTGCATGGAGTTCGTGACCGGACCAGCAAGCCCCGTCTAGTGCAGTACGTACCACTCCACCCCGTCTACATCTGTGGGCACGGGTGTGTGCACGATCTGGCAAAGCGAGGGGACAACGGAAGATATCGCTTAAAAGTTTGCCGCGTTGGAGACGCATGAAATTTATGACAGGGCGGAGAACATCGCTTGTTTTTAGTCTTCTTATTTTTGCGTGGGTGCCTGAATTTCGTATTATCTATATTTAAGTCACATGCATACCAAGGCGTGCACACGTTTGAAAAGGGTCACGTGCCCCTCCCTCCCCTGAATGCACCCCTGTGCATAAACATGCGGATTTTAAGGGTGGGAAGCGTGCACAGCCGTCATCAACATCGGTTACTCCTCTTGCCTCTCACATATGCCTTCCTTGCTGGGTTTTTCTGGGCCGAGACAACGCAAAAGTGAAGCCAATCTCCAAGAAATCGCGGAATGGGACCAGTGACGGGTTTGGGTCAGGACGTGCATACATCACGCGTCAAACACCCAGGAACAAAAGAGCGCGCGACAGTCCGGCTCCGAACTAAGGCGCGTGTAAATTGATGCCCATGTCACAATATCCATTCGCGCTCAGTCACAGTCACATGTATCAGTCCTCTCACATCGACAGTCTGGAAGCGAAACCCGAGATAGGTAACGCGGCACGCCAGCTAGGACCTCTGCTTCCGGGTGGGGATTGGGTCGAGGTTGTTACGACGCAACGACAACGCTTATGATGACCCGTGTGGTGTTGTATGGAGTTCCGCAATACATGCATACGAACGCCTGGGGTTATCGAGTATTTTGAGGTCACGACCTGGCTCCGCAGCCCTCGCTCACATTTCAAAGGGGCTCCGAGGGTGCTGAGGGCTGACTGGGCGGCATGTGTTCCCGGGCATCTTCCACGCGTTGCCGGGCACCTTTCATGTGTTGCTCGGCATCTTCCACGCGTTGCCGGGCACCTTTCATGTGTTGCTCGGCATCTTCCACGCGTTGCCGGGCACCTTCCATGTGTTGCTCGGCATCTTTCATGTGTTGCGGGGCATTTTTTCGTGTGTTGCGGGTCATCTTTCGTGTGTTGTGGGGCATCTTTCATGTGTGGCGGGGCATCTTTCATGTGTTGCGAGGCATCTCTCATGTGTGTTGTGACTCATTGCATGAACAATTATGCTAGACGATTAGGCGCAGTCGGAGCCACACATATGGGGACTGGAAATTGAGAAAATGCTTATCAAGATGCCAACAATTTTTCACTTAACATGCGAATTGCTGGTTGTCCCAAATTATTGCTTTCGTTGACGGGCCACACAGCAAAAGCAATACTGCATTGTTACTGCTAATAGTTCCAAGTGCAGCATTAGACCAGTGGAGTGGGCTCCGTAGCACTGTAGGCCAAGCCTTCGGTACTATACCCGCGTAAGCCCACTCAAGTGCACTTAGCCCGCCTCGGCCAAATGGGGCGTCGCGAGGATGCAAGACAAAGCGAAAACGAGGAAAGAAGGCCGGATGGGACGCAGAAGGGCGACAGGTCGGGTCGCCAGGCCAAAGACAGCCGTCGTTGCCGGTATTCCTGGCGAAAACAGAGCACGATCCGTGCTCGTGATCTCGTTCGTTTCTTCGCCCATCGTTTCTCTTCTCGCGACTCCACGCTTTACGACGTGTGACCGAACCACGGTATGGAATCGAAACCCTCTGAAACATATTTTCTAAGCTTCAGCCACGAATGTTTGGATGGATGGGCATCTGGCATCATATGCGTCTTGCGTGAGCTCTAATCTCACCATCCGATCGTAACGCTCCATTTAAACGGGGACTTAATAGTGAACGCCTGGCATGCAGCGGTGTTCAGCACGGTCCACTGTGCCCTCTGACGCTACCTGACCTTAAGCGCGGCGGTCGCCACCGGCAGCGTGCCGTTCCGGCCAGGCGCACATAAGGACTAACTCGACTAAAGGCTTGGATCTAAAAGATGGTCTGGATGGATTTCAATGTCACAAACGCGTAAGTCGGTTTCCGCAACTACGATGCAGACTGGGTGTCTGTACCCCAGAGGTGAACCCAACTCCGATGCAGACTGAGTGTCTGTACCCCTGAGGTGGACCCAACTCCGATGCAGACTGGGTGTCTGTACCCCTGAGGGAAGCCCTGCTACGATGTAGACTGAGTGTCTGTGCCCCTCAGGGGGCCCAGCTTATCTGACCAGCCACGTGACCGATGTTGTCGACGCACAAGTAACTTCAAAAGGCCGAAGTTCCTCCTTTGTTTTGTCGCGTCGCGCGGGAGCACAGAATGTTTTTAACAAGTTTTGAAAAGCTTCAGTAGAAAAAACATCTGGGTGTCATACCTGTCCATAAAATCATGGTTTGCTCACAGCCAGATGGCTGCAATTTTATCAGATCATGCGCCCTTGCAAACACATAATGCGTCTTTATAAATGTGAGACTGGAGATGTATCTGGCGTGCCGGGCCAGCCGCGGTCGGACCTTGGGCCAGCAGGCGCCCACCCGTGGCCGGCGGCGGTAGGGTCACGTGACCGAGCATTGAGGTTAGGGCGGTTCGGGGTACGCCGGGCGGCCGTCGCTGAAGGAGTGTCGTGGCTCGCGCTGCACCGCAAATACAAGATGCAGAAACACAGCCTTTACATAAACATGCATCTGCGAAACGTCTCTAGCCGAACATCGCTGATGAAAGGTGTGTGATTGGAAGATAAATATTGAAAGGTGTTGAAAGTTTTGCACCGTAATCCGTGATTTCACCGCAAACCGTATAAAAAAACTTCGAAAACTCGTCAACGGCATGTACTGAGAAGGGCATGACTGCTGCGGGTCGACGACCACTGCGATGATTGGCAAACAAAAGCCGTTGCTCGTTGACAAACCAGCTGCCAGTGCAAATGCCGGACAGAGCTGTCGTCCCACAATGATAAACGGCGACATTTCGTATCAGAGCGCGTCTGGCCTGCAGCGCAGCGCGGACGTGCCATCCAGCAAGACCCCTCCCCCCCCCACCCCACCCCCCCCCCCCCCCCCCCCGCCGCCGATTCCTGTCATCTCCACATAGAGACGATCACGTAGCAAGACGCGCACGTCCAAATTGGTATATAAGCCAAGACGAGCGTGTCAGACGCATTCGAGGGTAAACGGTTATTCACCAGCAGTGGGTGTTCGTCACACAGCAGCAAAGAAGTGCCGTAGTGTTCTAATCGCACCCTCATCTGTCAAGGTGATCGCTTGTCAGCTTTGCTTGTTCAATCCAGTTCTGCTATACGGAATCTAAATGCATGTGGAGGTGGTACGCAACCGCATCACACGAAATTCGCTTCGGCCGTGGAGCGAGCGCGGTGGCGACGAGGAGGGAGGCGGCAATGGCTCAGCAGATGCGGTGGCTTATCAGATGCAGATGTGGCGCGCGAGACGGGCCCAAGCCTCGTCCGGAGTGATAAATGACCAACGCGTTCGCCGAGTCAGACTTGTCGCGAGACAAAGGAAACAAGAAAATGGCGCGCTTCTGACGGAATTTAGCATAGCCCGCATGAAAGCGGGTCAGAGCAGGTCAACGTCTCTTTCCAAGAGTCAAAGAAAGCGGGCTGAGGTCGAACATGGAATGCATTAATGTTTGCCTACCTGTCGCACTCCCTCCGACCAATAGATCCGATGTCAATAAGACAGCTGGCAGCGCGTCCGGCTGCGTCAGTGTCTGCACCGGCTGCGCCTGGTTTGTAGCAGTTTGTACTGCATGCGATGGGATGGGACCGCATGTATTTTTATCATCGCATTTCATGTTTGAAAAAGGCATAGCATGTCTGTTAGAGGTGACCCTCGATGATCTTTGATCACATCAGGGCCAAGATTTGGCGGAGCGAGGAGAGTACATTGCGCCCATTTGCAGCTTGCTGTTTGAAGCCATGCATGGTGAAAAAATACAAAAAACGGGCCTCAGGAAGGCTCTCCTTGCTGCGCTTAAGCCTGTGAACACCTCGCCCCCGAGGGAGAGACCGATACGTCGTCCACCTGAGATTTTCTAAAAATATATCTTCGACGTGTCGTCTAATCACGCCTTACAGGGAGCATCCGCTTGCATTTTTCATGCATTGGTCGACCAGGTGTGTCGGTATTGTCGGCTTACGGATGAAATCTGACACATTTGACCGGACGTGTCAGGTTTCACAGATTTCGTCGGTGATACCAGCTTTCCTGAAATCCTTTCAGAAAGCTCAAAAGTTAAGCCCAGGTAGCCGCTCCGACAGGAGAAAACCCCCTGGGCTCCCAACCCGCGACTGTGAAAGTAGTAACTTCTGTTAGTTTGGCGTTTCCAACGTATGGGTAACGTGGCATGCGCAACAACGAAATCGCAAAAAATGCTTGTGCAATAAATGGCATGAGGGCTTGTACCCTCTATATAGGGAAAAGGTATTTTTGCTACGTGACGGCCGTTTCCTCCCCGCGAGGTCCACCAAACGTTGTGCCATGGCTTTTGTTCTCTCCCCTACGACGTCTAGCACGGGGCTGTACTCGAAGGGCACTTATTGCTTGCTTGGATGCTTACTTTATCCAACCAGCACTGCAGGCAAAGGGAGGGCACATACCCCTTAGGTTTCGGGGGGCCGGAAAGGGCCCCCGGGACACAATATTAAGGGCGCGAGAGGCCGTGTTTAGGGGCCCCCGCCTGCCGGGCCGGGCACTCCATTGTCAGCCAGACTGCCCTGAACGCTAATCAGGGGTCCCGAGTCGACGAGGGCCTATATGGTCAGGCCTATAGGGCCTATATGAGGCCTATAGGGCCTATACGAGGGCCTATATGGTGAGGTCAGGCACCGCCAGTAGAGTACGG